AGGAGGAGGAGGAGGAGGAGGAGGAGGAGGAGAAACAACAACAACAATAACAACGAAACAGCAGGCTGAAAACCAAACTTTAGAACAAACTAGCCGGGACGTAGGTCAGCGGCGCAGTACCGGCCTGGAAAGCGTGAGGTCCTGAGTTTGATTCCTGGTACCAAAAAAAAAAGAAAACAAATAGAGCAAACTGTAAATGTGAAGGTTCCTCCAGTGGGAGACAGACACTTTCAAATCTCGCTTTTGGTCCTTGGGCCTCCTAACATTCTCTTTAGGGCCATCTTTACCTCTTGGTTCCTCAGAGTGTAGATGAGGGGGTTGAGGAAAGGAGTGATGGCTGTGGGGAACAGAGCGGCCGCCCCGTCCAGGGGGCTGTTGGTTTCAGGCCTCAGGTAGACGAAGGCACAGGGCACGTAGTACACCGTGACCACGGTTACATGGGCTCCGCAGGTTGAGAAGGCCCGGCGCCGCCCGTCCGCTGTGCGGATTCTCAGGATCGCCAGAACGATCTGAATGTAGGAGAGGAGGATCAGGGAGAAGCAGCTGGCAACCACCACCCCGATGTCCACAAAGGTCACCAGCTCATTGACTGTGGTGTCAGCACAGGCCAGCCGCAAGACCGCAGGGATGTCGCAGAAGAAGTAATCTACCCGGTTGGGCCCACAGTAGGGCAGACGGAAGGTTAGAACGGCCTGGAGAGCTCCATGGAAGGAGCCGGCCACCCAAGCCCCAGCCACGAGCAGGGCACTCAGCTTAGCACTCATGAGCACGGGGTAGCGCAGGGGCCGGCAGATGGCCAGGTACCTGTCATAGGCCATCAAGGTGTACAGGAAGCACTGCGTGCTACCCAGGAAGTGATAGAAATACAGCTGAGCCACACAGCCGCCGAATGGGATGGGCTCGATGCCTAGAATGAAGTTCATCATGAAGCGAGGGACGATGATGGAGGAGATGCCCATGTCCACGACGGAGAGGACACCAAGAAAGATGTACATGGGGCGGGCATGGAGTTGCGGGTCTGCCCAGACAGCGACCAGGATTAGCAGGTTCCCCAGCTGGGTCAGGATGTAGATTAGCAAAAAGAACGCAAAAAGGAACGCCTGTAGCCTGAGTGGGCAGGGAATGCCGGTCAGGATGAACTCACTCAGCAGTGTGTAGTTGATTCCTTCCATTTCCTGGGGAGATCTTACCTAGAGAACGGACAAAACAGGCGTCAGCATAGAGGTGTGGGGGACGTGAGGGACAGCTAGAGAAGCAGACTGTGGACAGCAGGGGCAGTGGCAGGGAGGTTTGTTTCTGATGACCAATATAGGGGAAATGGGTTTCTCTTATCGGAGTTGTGTAAATAAAATTTTATTGAAATGCCCCCGTGCTCCTTAACTTACCCACGGTCCATAGTACTTTGGAACTGTGATGGCAGAGAGGAGAGGTTGCATCTGGCCCACAAACCTGTTTACTGTCTGGACCTTTAGAAAAAGTCGTATACCCCGAGGACTTCCCAGTAATCTTTAGAAAATAACCACTGACGATTGTTTAGAGCAGGTCAGGATTTTCTGGAAACATCACTTGGATGGGAAAGGACCTTTGCTGCATTGGACACTCTGCCATTTCAGAATCTTCCAGAGATCACTGGCTCATTACATCACTGCAGGACAAATGCTTACAAGGGCGGGATAGCAGAAAGGAAATGAGGAAACTTCTTTTTCTCCTTTGTTGCAGAGAGAATGAAGTAGCATTTTGATTATGTGGCTAAGTGTGTGTGTGGCACTGCTCGACACTGTGCCGATATTTTCTTCGTGTTCTTTACAGCTCTGAGAGGATCCCTGGGAGGCTGTGAGACTGTAAGCACAGTGAGGACTGGCCCACCGTGCACTGTGGTGAGTGCTTGGTGCTGTGCATTTCATTTGCTCTGTTTGTAAACTTTAAGATATGGTAAAAGAAGAGAGAAGGGAAGGAATAGAAGAGGAATGGTTTCAGCGAGAAGTCAGAGATTAAAGGAAAAGCCAGGATGACCAGGAAAGAGGAGGGGAGGGGCCAGAGCAGAGCAAACAGCTCTTGATGTGGAAGAGTTTTTTTTTTTTTTTTTTTTTTGAGACCTTTTTTTTTTGAGACCGGGTCTCACTATGTAGTTCATGCAGGTCTTGAACTCACTATGTAGCCCAAGCTGGCCCCCACCTTGTGGCAGTCCTCCTGCCTCTGCCTCTCCCCTGCTGGAATTACAGGTGTGCACCTCCATGCCTGGTTACATTGTGTTTTGGGCAGTGATTTGTTTTTGGGTGTGATCCTGAAAGCACATGTAACAAAAAAAACAGATGGATTGCACCAAACTAAAAAGCTTCTGTAGATCAAGGGAAACAATAGGCTGAAGAGACAACCCACTTACAAGGAGAAAATAGTGCAGGCTGTACTATCTGATCAGGGGCTGATGTCTCAAATGTATAAAACTGGCAAGGAAGCAACTGATTAAAAGCTGGGCAAAGGATTTGAATAGATATTCCTCAAAAGAAGACACACAGATCATTGTTAGGTTTGTGGAAAATGCCAAACATCATTAGTTGCCAGGGAAATGCAAATATAAGCCACAATGAGATGTTACCTCATGTCTCTTAGGTTGGTGTTATCAAAAACAGGAAAGCAGGCTGGGGGAGGAGCTCAGTGGGGGAGTGCTTGCATAGTGTGCTGGAAGTCCTGGGCTCAACCCCTAATACTGCATTTGAACAGTCAATGACAGCAAAGAACAGCAACTCAGGGGAGAGAGTAAATGTCAGTGAAAAAAGGAAGTAATTGCCCACTTGGTAGGAATGTGTATTCGTATGACCATTATGAAAAGCAGGATGGGGTTTTCTGAAACAAAAAACAAAAAAACTAGAAGTATAATTGCCATATGACCCAGCACTCACACTTTTGGGTATATATCTAAAGGAATTTAAATCAGTATATCAAGGAGGTGTTTGTACTTCCTTATTCATTGCAGCATTATTCACAGTAGCCAAGATATGGAATAAATCCAATAAATCAATGAATAAAGAAAATATGGTACATGTGCACACAGGAATACTATTCAACCTTTAAAAAGGAGAGCTTGTCCTTTATGAAAACATGGGTGAAATTACAGACCATTATGTTGAGTGAAACAAACCAGGCATTCAAGATAAATTCCATATAATCTCATTAGTACGTGGAATCCAAAGAATTTGAACTTACAGAAGTAGGTAGTGGAATGAGGGTGACTGGAGGTCAGGGTTGGGGTGAGGGATGGAGAGTTGATCGAAGGGTACCAGGTTTCACTGGGGTGGGAAGGATACATTTTTAACATCTACTGCACAGCATGTTGACGATAGCTAACAGTAATGTATACTGCTAAGAGGGTAGATTTTAAATGCTCTCACTGTATAAAATTAAGGATATGCTAATTAACTTGATAAAATCATCCCATAATGTATACATATATCAAAACATTATGCTGTACCCCATGAATATACACTATTATTATTTGTCAAGAATAACATTTAAATTACAAAAGAAAACTTTTGAATTAAAAAGACTTTTGAGGCGAGATGCCAAAGAAATGAAAATGGCTTGATTGTTTTTTCCTCTGGAATGGTCGGTATTTACTCAGAAGGTGGAGAATGAGATTAATGGGAAATATCAGAAGCTCCCTAGTTAGTGATTCCCTCCACCTTCACGTTGTGCGTGGCAGGATCCTGCCCTGGCTCACTGGCCTGGGAGCGCAGGCACCCGGCAACCTCTGAAGGAGCAGGACGTGGACAGATGTCCTGCTGCTGGCCGAAAGCCCAGATGTGACTCTGACAGTGGTTTTTGGCCATCAGCTTGCTTCTTGGTCTGAGCGAGTGTCCCAGAACCTCTGGATTTTTGTTTCCTCTCTGTAACCTGAGGGTGTGGATGAAACTGCGGACATAATTCTGGCCGTGGTGCACAGTTATCGGTAGTTATAGTCAATAATACTTACATTAAACACAACATTAAGCCTGCTGCACCCCTGCACTATCAAACACAGCTCTCATTTAATCACCTTTGTTATGAAACTTTATTTATTTATTTATTTTGGTTTTGGTTTTTCTCCGGTACCAGGAACCTAACTCACGACCTTGCGCTTGCCAGGCAGGCGCTTTTTGCCGCTGAGCTAAATCCCCAGCCCCATGTTATGAAACTTTAAACAAAAGCAGAAAATCATCTAACCCCATGCCGTTTTATTCTCTCCAGATGAATGAAGAACAATTGTGATTTTTTTTTTGAATTTTAAACATATTTCACAGGACCCCAGTGATGGCTGGACTTCAAAATGTTGATCAGAATGCTTTTCAGATGCCAAAGCTGTAGGTACTGGCCCTCTCCCCTCACTTCCAGTGTTAGAGAGTCTAGAGGGCTGATGTTCCTATGCAAGTATCTCGAGAAATTCCTGACTGTGCCCAGCAATAGTTCTGGGCTGAAAGAGCTAAGGTGACCACGATGGCCTGGTGTTACAGAACGCTATAGCTTTCTTGGGTCACAGAGGTGTGATATTAAATTCTTCATATTTAAGAACATTTTTTAGTCCCGTCTCCCTGGGGGACTCAGGCTGTGGGAAATCAACTCATACTATTTAAATACCTAAGAGAAATGATTTATAAACCAAATAACCAATTTTATTAATTTACAGTGGGAGATCTTGGTCTCATGGCTGAAATGGTGTGTCTGCTACACAGAACACCTATTGTTAATAATTAGAAACCAAGTTAGGAATCAGATGTATATTTCTGAGTTTTGGGGGCAGAGCAAAGGCAATGTGTTGATACACATTTAATATAAGTTGTGATAGGTCCTGATGAGTTGGTAAATCGCCTCTTTATCTAAGGGAACACTTCAGTTTTACAGGAGATGCATTATCTTTTTCCTCAGGCCATGTCCAGTTACTCTCTCATCCCTGAGACATAAAAAAAAACATAAAAATTAAACATATTTAAACATTTAAATATGTTTAAAATTCAAATAAAATCTGACATGTACAAGTTAAGGGAGGAAAGGCTGACTTTGGTTCACCGTGTGTAGTGGTTTCAGTCTGTAGTCAGCTGGCTCCAAGGCAGGGCGTCCTGGCAGCAGGAAGCAGAGCAGAGAGCAAGGGAGTGGGAGGGACTTAAACCCTTCCAGGCCACACCCATGGGGACCCATTGCTTCCCACCAGGCTTGGCCTCCCAACATCACCCCCAGCTGTAATGCCACCAGTGACGTGCACCACGCATCCACAATCCAGTCACCTCCTGAAGCCCTGCCTATGAGCGCATGAGGCTTTGGGGAGACATCTAGATATAGAGAATAGCAGGGCAATAGTAGGGATATACTGACAAACTTTTATGTTATTTTATTCTTGGGTTTATATATCTTTTAGATTATTTTTGTTATTTCTGGTGAGTCTTCTTTTTTAAACATTTTCCTAATTTTTAGAGTGCCTGTATTAATTGTTTTCGTACTTATTTTCCATGCCATTTTTTTTTTTTTTTTTGAGACAGAGTCTCTCTATATAGTGTAGGCTGGCCTTGAACTCAGAGATCTTCCTGCCTCAGCTTCCCCAGTGCTAGGATTACAGGTGTGCACCACCACTCCACGCCATTTTCTTCTTTGTATTATGGAATGTTTTCTGAATTACTATCTAGCAGAATTTCCTGTTAGCAAATTCCACTCACTGATTAGTGTGCTGAATCTTCTTTTAATTAACCAGAAAGAACAGTATTCCTTAATCTTGCCCTTAGGTTCAAGGGCCATCTTAACGGGAGTTCAGAGGAGAGAGATGCAGTCCTACTTACAGTACTGAGTGTCTTCACTGGGTGTGATTTCATGCCAGTTGCAAATAAGTTTCCTCTTTCTGTTTCTCTAACTTTACTTTTCCCTCTTCATTTAATTAGAGCTATTGGTAAGAAAGCTTTCTCTTCTGTGATCTGTTAAGACCTTCCTCTATATGTTTCTGCCATTTCCCTGGATCTCCGAGCATGAAGCGTGGTGCCCGTTGGGTGTCCACACCTCTACTTACTCTGATTCATTAATATCCCAGACATGGTTCTAGACAACTGAACTCCTTTCAATATGAAAGACACAGAGATGAGAGAGAGACAGAGACAGAGAGAGACAGAGGGAGAGAGGAGGGGAAAGAGAGGGAAGAAATGACACAGAACTAGAGTAAAGAAGCATGACACTGGTAAACCTCAGTGGGGCGGGGTGCTACTCACTGATGTTCTGGACATGCTCCTGCCTCGCCTGTGGAACCTTTGGGTTTGACCACCAGCACCAAACAACAACTACAATAACAACAAGAACAAGAAGCAAAACTATCCTAGTG